ATTTTCTTTATTGATTTCAGAAATTTCTAGCAATACATATTAAATTCTATTTAGAATAAATTGTTTAAGCATTTTTATTAAAATACAAAATAAAATGGATATAAATATTTAAAAAATAACATACCTGATTTGTTTCCGTTACTTGCATTTGATAAATTTGTGACAATATTCTTTGACATCTGATACAATTGTAAATATAATCCTGTAAAAGAAAAATAAACCAGTTATTTAGCATACTCACATCATCGCTACTCCCCAGTTTTTTTTTCTTTTTTTTTTCCCTCCAATTTAACTTAATCCCCATATCGAAGGCCTATCTACAATTGGATTTTCAGCGATGAACAAGAGTAGATGCGAACAACACTAAAACAAAAAGATCAAAGTCTACCGCCCGAGATGCTTTCTAAATACCGCATTAGGGCAAACATAAATCGAAAAAAAAAACAAATCTATGTCGACTCCAACACGCTGGAAAAATATTCTCAACATTGAATTAGGGCAGACAGCAACATAAACTAATGAATAGTACAAGACGAGAACTCTATGATGTCTGTCAAGGAAGAGGAAAAAGCGCAGGTAACGGTTATTTTAAGATAATTAATGGTTATTTTAAGAAATTAATTTTAAAAATGATATTTTCATATTTTGCCACATAGATTGTTTTTATTGGGTGGAACACGGGGGGAGAGAGAATGTGCATAGAGGATTTGAAGTCATCCCTCAGTTGTAGAACAAAACCATCACCTTCGATCTCATCATCTCCCTTTCGCGAAAAAACCCTAACAGATCGATCGCGTCTGTGTTCGGTGTTCAAGTGAGTCTATCCGGTGGAAACGAAGGTTCTCCTTAGTGGTTCTACGGTTTAATTTGATTGTTCAATTTATGCCTTCTTTGTTTGTTCGCGGTGTAATTTTGTGTGCGATGATGTTTAGGCTTTAATTTTAGCAATGTTTCTTTAGATTAGGGTTCGAGTTTGCGTGTTTTTTGCATTTCCATGGTGTGTCATTTGGTTTGGGTCTTGAATGTGTGGTCGATGTCGGTTTGGATTATTTTGGGTTACCAGATCTTGCTTCCATAATTATAAATAGAAGATTCTTTAAAATTGGTAGATATTGATTTGTTCGTGTGAGAATATTGCACTGTCAATCTTGGTGTTAGGATATACACGTCTTTTGTGTATCTCATGTCATGAATGCAGATGTATTGCTTAATCCATGGTTATATATTTTAGAAACATACGATTTGTTCGTTTTGTGTTATAGATATAAATATTTTTATGTTAAGTACGATAAATTATGTTGATAATTTTAAAAATAATATTTTGTGTTTAATTATTTTTATGAGTGGATAAAAAATAATCTCTCCTTCTGGCTCGTAGGGCTACATTTACTTATGCTCGATTTTTGAAATGATCAAAAGTTGTGTTTTTGTTGTTTATGCAAATTTTGATGTAAATAGTTTATATCAACATTGTATGTAGTAAGAGAAGACCAATATATGGTATTAGATGAACAAAGAAAATATATTGAAATTGATAAGAAGCTAAACAAGAAGTTGAAAATGAATAGATAATTGGCAAGTTGATATGACAAATATGCTAGAAATTTGCCTAATTTGTAAAAGTTTAGTAAAGTCTGTGTTGATGTATTTGTTCTTAATAGGAATTATTGTATATTTTGTAGAGATAGCTCTTGTTGATGCATGTGGTAATTCCTTAGAAGCTAATTCTTCAACATGTGAGATCTTTTAAGCATTTACAACAATTTTTGACAATTTTCAATTTACATCTCAGAGATCATTTGGAAAATATTTTTTAATTTTTTCCGGTTTCAATAGGTTTTTGGTGTAAGTCCTTTAACACTTACAAATTATGGCAATCTATACAGGAAAACTATGGCTATGACTAAGCCACACTTAGAGTTCTAGAAGTCCAATTTTCGATGGTTGGTAGCTATTCAGTTAAGCTTAGTTTTTAATTTGAGAATTTTAATGAATTTTTGGAGGTGAACTGAGGTGGTAATATTTAACAGGACTGCGCGTGATTGGATAATATTTGGTGTGTTGATTTGGGGAGTTATCTGAGGTTGATTTTAGTGTTTAAAGATATTGTTCAACTTAATGTGCTATAGTTTTCAATTGTACTCCTATTCCAACATTGAAAAATATAGGGCGATAATATTTTTTCGAGGACAATTAGGATTTAAGATTATGACTCACTTGATTGAGGGATTGTCGAAATGGCAGATTTAAAATTATGGGTTATTAGTTTAAGCCATTGTTACGGAAATCATGATAGAAAAATAGTTTACGTAGTTGTAGAAATTACAATGGTGATATTCAAACCATTCCTATAGTCGTTTAAGTTGTTCCGTGTTTTGGTTTTTTTGTTCAATATATAGATTTAGTCATTTTGAGAAAAATTGTTTTTAAGAAATTTGCAAGCCTATAGGCTTGGAGAGAGGGCATACTTTTGTATTTGAGAATATTTTACTTGTCAAATGATATTTTTTTAATTTAATTTAATTTAATTATTTATTTATTGATTTCCTTTTTGAATGTTTGGTGTCTGTATTAATTTGTTGTTTTTGTTGATATATAGAATTATTAAATTGGAAATATGTGATACCCATGTCGAGTTTGTTTTTTGATGACTTCTACTTTAAATATTTTCTTGCCCACAACTATGATTCACGCTTCATTTTCTAATGCAAAATAATTCATTAGTAATATGTTTTGAAGCATATATCCTCCACTGACAACTTTTTACCAGAAAATGACAATAATTTTTGTTGATCATTGTTAACATATTTAAATGACTTTAAGGTTGCAATATTATAGTTCTTCAAAACTTTTCGAAACTCATCTGCATTTTTAAATGATTATCCTTCTAAATTTATGTCATGATGTCATGCATCTGACATGTTACTTTAAAAAATTATTGCAATATTTATATTATTCATCTCATTCACCATGTGAAACCTCCACATATAATTTGACCTTTTTGAATTAAAACATCAAAATTATACTCCATCCGTCCGAAAAATTTAGTCCATCTGGATTCGGCACGCGGATTAAGAAAAATAAATATTTTATTGAAAAAATAAAAAAGTTAATTGGGGTATTTTTGAAAATTTAATTATAAATTAAAGATAATTGAGAGAATATAATAAAGTGACTGATATTTATTGTAAATAATTGTTGAATAAATGGTAATAATTAAATATTGACTTTTTGACTTTTCCAAATATAATAATAAGGTAAATTTAACGGACAGACGAAGAAGAAAATTGTGAATAAATTTGGCGAACATATATAGTATATTATAATAAAAAAGAAAACTTATATAATTTAGATTATATACCCGGAAGTTTATCTAAAATATTATGATCATTGTATGCTTCACATTTGCCTATAGCAACCATATTAAGTTCAATTTCAAGATTGAATGCAACAGACACACATTTTTTAAATCTTTATCTCCATTCAAAGTTACATATAATTTGTGCACTGAGAATAAATATTATAGTTTTATAGATATCGGATCAATATTGTTCCATTTTTTGGCAACACTTGTGTAGATATCTATCAACGTAATGTCTTTATCGATTGATATTATATGCAATTCATTTTTATATTCGCACGACCAACATTCTCCATTCTTCTGTTATTTTGCTATAACAACAAAAATATAACAAATACATAATTAATTATGTATAATTTAATTTTTCATCGTTTTTACTTTTCTCTTAATGTTATGTAAAATTGCAAAAATAAAACTATAAACATAATATAACCAATTAATATCACAAAATATCATTAAAAAAAAAAAAACTATAATCACAACATTACTATATGAGTCTAAAATTTCCACATGAATACTTACCATCAAAATTTCCACATGAGTACTTTCCATCAATTTTATGGCCGCGAAATTGAAAAAAATCATAGAGATAATAAAAAATAGAAAATTTAGCTCAAGACTGTAGAAGTCTAAATTTGTCACAAAAAAATTTTGAACAAAAACATACATTCATTTTATTATCTTATCTCTATGTATGTTTATCTTATTTGCGTTTCTATTTTAATATGAGATAAATATACTATATATTTGCTAATGGTAAGTATTCTCTTCCGATAGAAAACAAAAAAATTATCGCTCTTCTAAATAGATTAAGAAACTACAAAATACAATAACCTTCAATATATGAAGAAGATAATAGTTAACGTATAATAAAATTTAGTTATTTACTACACAAACAAACAATATTGTAAAAATTTTAAATCTAAATATTTCTATTATTCAAATAATCATATTCTAAGATTGAATGAAATTTTCATTACTTTCTCTGTCTAACTTAATTTGTCTCATATTTCTATTTTGGTCTGTCTCTCATAATTCGTCATTTCATTAAAATATAATTATAAATTTTAATCATATTTTAAAATTTACCATTTATAATTTTTTTTATTTCAATTAAACTATTTAGTCATGTTAATTTTAATTTATAATTATTTTTATTAAATCATAATTCTTTTCACTAATATACTTTTTAACTACTTAATAATTACACAATACCTAACACATGTGTGTCTAAGCTAAATAGAACAATTTAATTAAAACAAATGGATTATTAAAATAGATATCAAAGAAGAATATATTTATATATAGCGAGTAAATAAAAAATTTTATTAAAAATTTAGGATTTTTGTGAAAGTTCTCCAATAAATACTCGTATATATATACATATATTTAGCCGTGGATAATGTATGTTTCTTTTATCCAAAACTTTCAATTTTTATTATTTGGATTCTGCAATTTTTAAAAAAATACAATTTTTTTTTTACAAAATATTCTATCATATCTTATTTTAATATTTAATTCAAACAAATTTTTTATTTTAACTCATGTAAAGACACGGACCCTTAATTTTTAATTTTTTAATTTTTGAAATTCCTGTTGTGGGTCCCATCTAAACCCACGTTCTCTCTTCTCCTCTCGGTTCTACTCTGCTTCTTCCAACTACAGTTTTCTCTCAACACAACGATGCCGCTGCCTAACCGCCACGCCGCGTCACCTACACGAACTACCCCTAACGCCCCAGCAAATTGTAAATCTCCGTAGGCTCTGGTTTCTTCCACTAGCGAAGACCAGTTTTTCTGCGGCCGGCGCCGCCGCTTTCCCCGCCTCTCTGATTAGGGTTTCACTCCCGCGTCTATTAATCGATCTCTAATTGTTTCTGTGCTCGTGTCCATCGTGAGGAAAAGGATCTGAAATAGAGAATAGGAATTTATTGAGACGTGTGAGAGGATTGCTGGGAAAGCTCGCCACTCGATCTATCTCCGTTTCCGGAAAACAGCAGCACCAAGAAGTCCGTTGCCTGAACATCCACAAGTATCAGGTTTTCACTCCGTTCCATTTCGTCTTTCTCGGTCTCCGCACCGACGTAGCCAGTATGCACTTTAATGTATGGATAACTTTTAGGTTGGTGTCTGTTAATTTGTTTCTAGACGATCAAATTGGATGTTTTGTTATGCTCATTGTTCATAAAATACTGATTGCTGAGGAAATTTGTGATATTTTGAATCTTAGGTTTTGCAGATGCACATTTTGGGGCGTAGATTATGATTGATGTGTAAATGAGTCTTGGAAAAATGGACAGGGTCTTGGACATTTTTGGCGGAATGGACATCTTGTGGCGATTATTAGCCTAAAAGGCGTGGCAATTGGCTCTATTAGTGAAGTCAAGAAAGCTTTGCGAGAAGTATTTCTGAACCATAGTGAGGTGGTGCCAAATATTAGTTCTAAGTGATGGTTCTTCAGCGTTTCAAATGTGTGTGTGTGATTGTTATATGCTACTGACTAGGGGATGAATATCTTGCTCATGTGGCAGTTCTCATCAGTGGTGAAGTCATCGTCCAAGACATCAAGTGGCAGTCATTGTCAGGCCAGGTTTTCTAACTAATTCATAAGCCTGAGTTCTTTTAAGAAGTTATTCAACTTTCTTTAACGAAGATTAAGATCATAAGGTTCAATGTATTGCTTGCAACAATGAAATAAAATCACAGACAATAACAATCATAGTGTCCGCTACTCTTTAGTTTACGGGTGGAGTTCATTGCAATAAAATGTGGAAAACTCTGTGCTTAAAATTATTGATCATACATCTTTCAATAATATGTATATATGTTGCTTTGATTTTTGAGGAGTTTGTTGCTGCTATAAAATTTATATATATATATATATAATTTCACTTCGGTAGCAACAACTATTATGTGAAGTTATATGGAAACAAGTTTAAATTTAGAGCATTATTATTGTTTTATTGTTATGTTTTAGTGGCAGTCATCTCTGAAGTCTTGGTATTGCAAGACAGTTTAACCTTCTAACCACATAGTCTTGTTATGTTTTCTGAAGTATTGTTTTATTGTTGTTATGCATTTTAAAGTTTTTATCCTCAATTTGATCTTCGCCGGTTTTTTAGGGCCATGAGTTGTGTTTTTGCGTGGACTTTCAATTTCCAAAGGAATGCATTACTTGCTAATGCAAATTTGGCTTCTGTAAATAAAATTAATAGGATGATAAACATTGGCATTACATAATAATTCACTAGGCTTTGGTGTGTTTTTGTTGTTTGAAGTTGAAAGTTTTTGAAATAGAAATAGGTGTTGGACATTATGATATGTTTTTTTTAGGGAAAAAGAAAAACTTATAATATGATTGAAAATAGAGATACACACCCGTGTATAACACGGGTTCCCTCTAGTTATATATATATACATGTATCTATATTTAATTTTATACATAGTGCGCCGCGTTCGGCATGTTGTCGCCATGGCGGTATGGCGGTCCACAGGCGCCGCGCCGCAAAAAGGCGCCGTGACAACCATGGGGTTATCTAAGGTCAATTTTAGTGTTTAGAGATATTGTTCTACTTAAATGTGCTATAGTTTTATGTTGTACTCCTATTCCAACATTGCAAAGTATAAGGCGATAATTTTTTTTCTAAGGGCAATTAGGCGTGGATGGGGATTTAGGATTATGGCTCACTTGATTGAGGGATTGCTGAAATGGCAGATTTAAAACTATGATAGAAAAGTAGTTTATGTAGTTGTAGAAATTGCAATGGTGATATTCAAGCCTTTTCTGTAATCATTTAAGCTGTTCCCTTTTTTTTTCCAATGTATATATTTAGTCATTTTGAGAGGAGTTGTTTTTAAAAACTTTGCAAGCCTATAGGCTTGGAGAGAGAGCATACCTTTAAGTTTGAGACTGTTTTATTTGTCAATGGCATTTTTTAATTTTGATAATTTCTTTATTGATTTCCTTGTTGAATATTTGGTGTTTGTATTAATTTGTTGTTTTGTTGATATATAGAAATACTAAATTGGAAATATCAACTGATCAAATATTTGATGTAATTGGAAGCCAAGCAGCAAACATGTGTTATCTGTACACAAGTAGGTTATAATTATGAACTTGGGTTTTTCATGAATGCATTTAGATATCTTGCTGTAGCCGCACTGAAAGAGGATCCACTAAACTCAAATTGGAAATTGGAATAAACCTCAAGTTTGTTTAATCTATATGATTATTAATTATATACTAAATAAATTGTATGAATGGCTCGTCAGATGAGTTTGACAGCAGATTCCCCGGTACATTCATCTAGCAGTGATGACTTGGCAGCATTTCTAGATGCAGAGTTAGATACTACTTCTGATGTATCTGCTGATCTTGAAATTTTTGAGGAAAATGAGGAAATAGCTGATCATAGTAAGGAAGATATTGTCGATGAGACCAACTATGATTTGGATCTCAAGAGGTATGCATTTCATTATGTTTTGTTATTAGGGTCGTGAATATTTTTAATTTTTGATGTTTTTATCTCACCTATGTTTATATATATATATACATATATGTATATATATATAATTTTCTTTTGTAAGAGTAGCATATATATCAGCTGCTAAGATTACTCTTTCTCTCCTACTTGTAATAATATTTGTTTTTGGTCTATGTAGAGTTAAAAGGCGCAAGGTAGACTTATCCGATGGTGTGTCAAGTCCACAAAGTTCTTCGTCTGAAGTTGAGGCGACAAAAGGTTCCAGTGGTGCACTCATAATTATTCAAACTTCTGATTTATTTCTAATTATATGTTCCTTATGTGAGGTAGCTTTCTTACATTTAAACGGTGCTTTGCCATCAATTTCCCTTTTATAATTCACATAGTTCTTTAGGATTCCAGCCTCATGTTTTCTCTTATCACCCTTAAAATGTAGTAAACAATCTTTTTGCCTTCTTTACACATTCTTCGAAGAGTTTCGATTTGCACTGAATTCTCTTTACATATATTTCAAATGTTCGAACTTGTATAACTTGATGTCCCCCTAACATATTTCAACCCTTTTCCCCTGACGTGTTTGTTTCTTGCAGGGTTAACGTCTGGGCAGCAGTCGTGCCCTCATCCTGGTGTTTATGCAGGGATGTGCATGAAGTGTGGACAGAAAATGGATGATGAAGCCGGTGTTGCATTTGGATACATACATAAGGTTACTTTTCTTGAGTTATATTGTTAAATTTCTGTAATGGATTATGATTGATGTCAAAGTATCCCATGTCTACTTTCCTGAGGGTAACTTGCTGTCTCCACTAATTAACCTAAAAAATTCAGAAGCAGAGAACAGACACTTGATTCTTGAATTTTCAAACTCAACTGACCCCATCCTAATTCCTAACTGGTTATGCACGTGTCTAAACCTATGAGAGAATAAATAAACTCCATATTCAATTAGGTACACCTACTGATGGAATTAAATGGAATAATAAAGGGATAGCCACAGAGTTTTACTTCAAGATCAAGATTTTTTGCTGATGACTTTAAACTCTAAATTAAATTATATGATGGTGGTGATGGTTTGGTACATTGACAGGCAAGAGATTCAAAATTTTAGCATGTTAGAATAAAGCATATAATACACCTAAATTTTATAATTACAAAAAGTGATAAACGTATTATGTATAGGGTTTAGGGTTTTATATGTGTCACCCATTATAATTTTGGTCATCTTAAGTAAAGTCTTTATAGTAATAGTGCTATATCTAATTTCTAGTTGTTGAAAAAAGTCCAATGGTACCGAAATATTGCCACATGTGTTTACATGGCATCGCTGGAGCTAACATGAACTAGCCACATGACAATTTTTAAAACCAAATATTGATGTAAATTAAGTTTTTAAATAAATATTAAATAAATATTTTTATTAAATATATAGAATTAAATTCATATAAACTTTTGGTATCGTAAATCGCCACGTGGTTAGTCCATGTCAGCACCGTGTCACACATGGCAATATTCCGGTTGTAGATGACCTTTTCAGCTATTCTAGATTAAGTACTAGACTATTTCTATATAATGTCAAGAGCTGTTGCGCCTAGATTCTAAGGTTCCTCATTTTCCTCTTCTCGATGATGCAACATCCTACGTAGCTAAAGATGGTCAGGCAATAGCAAGATTGAGGATTCTCTGTTTTACTAGTATAAACTTGAAATAACTTTACATTCTTATGAAGTTGTCTTGCATGCCCACAGAATTTGAGGCTTGCTAATGAGGAAATTGCCCGGCTACGTGACAAGGACTTCAAGAACTTGATACGTCGTAGAAAGCTTTATTTGATTCTTGATTTAGATCACACACTGCTCAATTCAACTCGGCTTCCTGATATTATTGGAGACGAAGGATACTTACATGATCGAGATGCTTTGCCAGGTTTATTCTGTGGATCATTATCTTTATTCCTTATTTTGTCTTCATTTGTTTTACCAGCTTTCGTGTAACTTTTCACATTCTATTCAGTCGAACTCTGTAAGTAATTTTTTGTTGTTTCCAAGCACGTGTCTGCATCATAATTTGACTTTAAATAGATATTAATATGATTTGCGAAGGTTGAGCTCGACTCGTGCAGCTAGGTCTATCTGTACTCCTTAGTTCTTTACACTTTGCCTCTATGAGTCAGGCAAAAAGTAATCTGCAGAACCCAAAGATATAGGCTCTTAGTACTCACTTCTCATCTTCATCTACGGTGCCATTTAAAAAAATATATAATATCAGAATATTCCATTTTTTACTATTCTCCAAAATTTTTTACTATTCTACAAAATTTTCGAAACGCCAAAACTTAAAAAAAACCATAGTTGTCAATATCGCGCTATAGCGCAGCAATAGCGGCATAGTGTAGCGGAAAGACACTCTGCCGTTACGCCCACTCCGCAATTCCGTGTTTACACAATAGTGGCGTAGCAACCTGTAACGGCATTCCGCTACACTACGCTTTACCGCTATTGTAGCTGATTGGGTTATTTTTTAACACGTAAGTAATTGAAATTTAACTTTAATTTATAAAATGTACTTTTTTACTATAATATAGACGAAAAAAAAACTAATATTTATCTAAAATCTTAACTAAATTTTTAGATTCATTCCAAGAAAAGAAACAAATTAGAAAGCCAAAAGTTGTAAGATTTGATTTATATCATGTATAACCAAAATTTGTTAGACTGCTATGGTGGCAAATAATGTGATTGGTCCTATTGTTTTGAACGATATTGATGATTCCAATGAATAATTAATTGAAGAAGATGATAGTTGGGGAGGATGAATTAGTCTTTGACAATGATAATTTGATTAAGGGAGTTGTTGATGCTACTGGAGCTAACGGGCCTACTTTCTATACTAAGATACGAACATCAATACATCAATGAGAAAGAAAGCTATAGGTACTTGTAACTCTAAAAGGAAAATGATATTAGGTAAGGTGATAAAAATACAATGGAATAAATGGATATGAATGAAGAAGAGGAGGAATAATATAGACAACAGTAAGTAAGCAGTAGGATGAAAAAAATGAGGAAGAAAATTCTTTATTAGAGTTTGAATTTGATTAGCTTTAATATCTATCTATCACACAATAGTGATCTAATTGTTTTTGCTTATATAACTATCTAACAGTTATGATCATATTTTTTTTGACATCTTATTGGTTTGAATGATAATTATGAGGTTTATTTATAGATTTGTCCTATATATTTTTGTTGTAATTTTGTATATAAAATAAGTTTTTAATATCTTCTTAAATATTTAAATAGCAGCCATACCGCTATCCCCGCTGTAGCATTTTAGATATTGACCGCTACGCACCGCTATCCGTGATTGACAATTATGAAAAAAACTATATATAAATGGAGTCATAGTATTATTATATAAAGTTTAACGTATCTGGCCTTACCCACTACAATTGGCATAGTGATTTATGAGGTGCTATTGTTTGTTTCATATAAGTAATGGTTTGTAGCTTCAACTCCAAATGAAGGTTCCAGATTTTACTTTCTTTTATCATTTCTATTGCACAATCAATAAGATTATCTTTTGCAGCAAACGTATATATCTCCCATATTCTGTTTGGAGATTTACTTTACAATTGTCTTATACTCAGATAACTTAAAGAGCAGCTTATTTAGACTGGATCATATGCTTATGATGACGAAGTTGAGGCCATTTGTGCATGCCTTTCTAAAAGAAGCTAGTAGTTTGTTTGAGATGTACATATACACAATGGGCGAACGTCCCTACGCTTTAGAGATGGCGAAGTTGCTCGATCCTGGAGATGTCTACTTTAACTCTCGAGTAATTGCACAAGGGGATTGCACACAAAAGTTTCAGAAGGGTCTTGATGTTGTTATGGGGCAAGAAAGTGCAGTCCTCATTCTCGATGATACGGAAAGGGTAATTACATGTCTTAGATTCTTGATTTATGCATAGTGAATTTATGATTATGTCTCTGTTCTTAATATGGCTGATGATAAATTGTGTTTACCGGGTCTTCTCCACTGTGACAGCTTGTGGTCGATAATTTACATTAATCATCAATTTTTATTTTTAGGTGTGGGCAAAACACCAGGATAATTTGATATTGATGGAAAGATACCACTTCTTTGCTTCAAGTTGCAAGCATTTTGGCTTTAACTGTAAATCACTCTCTGAACAAAGAACCGATGAGAGTGAGACTGAAGGTGCATTGTCAACTGTTCTTAAAGTTCTTCAACGGGTTCACACTTTATTCTTTGACCAGGTATGTATTACCTCTCCACTCCAAAAACCGTGAATTAAAATATATGAATCAGGCGTTCACCACCTCAGCTGTTTTATTTATCTTTTGTCTCAGGAACGAAAGGATAATCTAGAGGACCGAGATGTAAGGCAGGTATGTGTGTCCCAATGATTATTATTGCTGAAGCTGAGCAATTTTTAAGGGAATTTTCTTGTGTGGGCTGCCAGGCTTAAATTTCGAATAGTTATCTTCTGTATCTTTTATTGCAATATTCAATTATTTTCTTGTTTTGATGTTCGTGTGATTTTTCATTCTAAAATTTGAGAAAATCTCAATTGTTTTCGTTCTTGCTTAAAAAATATATATTTGGATAGGATTGTTTGCTAGAACTTGAACAATACATTTTAATTAATTGCTTCATTTGCTACGGGGTTAATTTGATGGTTGTGTAATCCTTTTGCTCTGTTCGTTCGTTAGGGTTTTACACAAAGAGATCTATTAATACAACATCTATCACGTTGGTGATTTTTGTTTAACCTCTCTTTCAGGTGCTAAAGACCGTCCGCCGGGAAGTATTGCAGGGTTGTAAAATTGTCTTCAGTCGAGTTTTCCCAACCAATTTCCCTGCCGAACAACATCACCTATGGAAAATGGCCGAACAATTAGGAGCCACTTGCGTGACAGAACTCGACCAATCTGTTACACATGTTGTTGCTATGGATGCAGGTATGTATGAACCTCGAGAATCTGGTGGTGGACTTTCCAAGTCAATCCCCTCATCTAGGTCAGAGACAGACATACCTAACTCCCTAAAAACTAATTTTACTTGACATCTGCACACAAATGCAGGCACAGACAAATCCCATTGGGCTGTGAAGCAGAAGAAGTTTCTCGTCCTACCAAGTTGGCTCGAAGCATCCAATTACATGTGGCGAAAGCAGCCGGAAGAAAAATTCCCGGTCCCTCATAAGTCATAAGATAAGTACCTTCACCAACCTCTAGATTCATAGTATTTGGCTATTTGCTTGCTTGTTAGTTTTGGACTTTGCCTGTGAATTTTCTTCGATTGTTGTCGTATGCTTGGGCTCTTTAATTTTTTTTAATCAGAAAACAACTGATACCAACTGATGCTAGAATATAATTGAGCTTAGGATGAATGAATGAATGATAAACGTAGCTTTCATTGGAGAAAAATATTGAATAGGTTTGAGGCGTGTTTTAGGAGTTAAATGAAAAAATGATTTTCTCTATGTGCATTTTGGCATTATAATTTGTTGCATTGAATTGGAATTTGTCTCATAGCCTGTGTTTTTGTGATTTCCTTATTCAATAGCTTCATGGAACGTATGCTACTTTTTTAATGGGTACAGGAAGTTCTATATGCTATGTTTGTTTGTAAATTTTTATTTTTTTTCCTTTTTAATATATATATATATATATATAAAGTAAATAAATAAATAAACAAAAATCTCCAAGTAAACTACTGTATATTTTACTTATGTTAGTGGTTGGTTAGACTTTTTGTTTTCTTTAATAGTAATAATAACTGATGACTAAAGGCATCATTTATGCTCCTAGATTAAAGATTTTGCGTTGGTTGTTAAATTTGACACCAAAAATTTGTATTGTTACGATGTAATGCCAATTTTGGTGTTTATTATTATTATTATTATTATTATTATTTTAGTTTTAAAAGAGTTGTTATATTTTTTTATTTTCGTATATTACAAAACAATTGTCAAAATAATTGCGGTTTTTACTATACAACAAAATTATCTCTATTTTTTTCAGAATTACCCATAATTGTGGTGTTTTTTGTATTTTTGTTATTTTTGGGGGTGTATTGTGTAATTTTATTTTTTAGAAGATGCTATATAATTTTATTTTTTGAAAAATAATGTATAATTTTATTTTTTAAAAGTGATGTATAATTTTTATATTTGGAAAGTGATGTATAATTTTTATTTTTTGGAAAGTGATATAACTATATTTTTAAAATTAATATATAATTTTAATTTTCAAAAAGTGATATAATTTTATTTTTTAATAAAAATAATGCGTAATTTTATTTTTTAAAAGTTATATATAATTTTATTTTTTAAAAAAAAAATAATGCGTATTTTATTTTTTTTTAAATGATATAATTTTATTTTTTAAAGTGATATATAATTTTATTTTTTAAAATGATATGTAATTTTATTTTTTTTTTAAGTAATGTGTATATTTTATAAAAAGTTATGTATAATTTTTTATTGATGTATAATTTTTATATTTGGAAAGTGATGTATAATTTTATTTTTTGAAAAGTGATATAATTATATTTTTAAAATTAATATATAATTTTAATTTTTAAAAAGTGATATAATTTTATTTTTTAATAAAAATAATGCGTAATTTTATTTTTTAAAAGTTATATATAATTTTATTTTTTAAAAAAAATAATGCGTAATTTTATTTTTTAAAAATGATATAATTTTATTTTTTTAAGTGATATATAATTTTATTTTTTAAAATGATATGTAATTTTTTTTTTTTTTAAGTAATGTGTATATTTTATAAAAAGTTATGTATAATTTTTTATTTTAAATAGTTATTTGTTTCGATAGCATTTAATTATTTATTTAATATTATTTTATTTGTAATAGTTATTAATTATAAATGTTAATTTTAATATATGTAATTTTTAAATAAAATATAAATTATATGTATATGGATTATAATATAAAAATAATTAAAGTTGGAGTATAATTTATAAATATGCATTTGTACTGTAGCAACGTACAATTATTTATAGATAAAATATTAATAACAAAAATATCAAAATTATTTTATATATTTTTAGTAATATATAAAATTATTATTTTTTATTTATTATAAAATCTCAAATAACCTATTTGAATGGAAACAAAGACGTTATTACTCATCTTTTACTATGTAATTGTATTTATATATATATATATATTTATTTATTTATTTATATTATTGTTTTTATAAAATACTAGTAGTATTAAATTTGAATTACTATTTCGTAAAAAGTAGAAATGAAAATGATGACAGAAAAGTAGAATTACTAATAATCATTTGTAACTTTTTCACAGTGGATACTTTACAATCAATTATCAATACAATAATTTTAAAATAAAATAAAATAACGAAAAATTAGTTTTTTTTTTTTTTGAATATTTTCATTTATTATTATTTAAATCAAATACTTCTTTATAAAAATATATTATTTCTACAAAATTACTGTTCAAATATATATATATATACTAACTAAACACAACCAAATAATGTTACGAGAGTATTTGGGTGTGTTTGTTTAGGGGATTAGATTTTAAATACAATGTTCATCTCATTTTTTCCCCCCAAAAATATCAAATCAAACACCTATTTTTTATTTTTATATTATACTAAAAATTAATTTTACATTCAAAACATGATACAACTATTCAAATTTAAAATTTTTACTATTCAAATCCCAATTCAAAATTCAAACCCAAAACAAACACACCCTAAATATATTAATCAATTTCTCACATTTGAATTATTGTCTATATTATAAAGTATAAATATTGTTAGATATGCAATAATACAGATGATTTCTTTTTTCCCCAAAAATAATAATAATAATAATAATCGTTATACGAATATAATATTCTTAATGATATTGACAGATTAGGCAAACTTTTCACTAAAATCAAAATTCACTATATATATATATATATTTAAATAAATAATCCATGTGCACTTTATATTATTATTGCATTATTGATTACTAAAAGAAGAGGTTTTAAATTTTGTTGGGTTTTATGTGGATTTTGTTTGAAGAATATTCAGAAACAATAATTGATGAGACATTAATACTGTTTTATTTAAACAATATATATTTACACATCAATAAATAAGTCAATAAATAAATAAATTTTTAATATGTGTAGTTATTATATTATCCTTGGTTGTTTATTTTGAAACTTTTCAAAATATGTATTTTTCCTCATTTTTATGATATAATATTAATTTTTCATAAAAATATACTCTCTTTTTTTTTTTTAACGCAAATTTCATATTTAATAACTGATTTATCTTTAAAAATAATAAAAACTAAAAGAACACACAGTAATATATATATATATTCTTTATTTGATGCATTTAATCGTTTGATTGTTGTGAGGGGTTTGTTTGTTTGAATTTTAATTTAAATAATGTTTTAATATATTATATTAAAAAAAATTATTGAAATACAAACATATTATATTTAAAAAAAAAAAGAAAAATCAAACAAGATAAAGATTCAAAAATAAAACAAATATGATGTGTTTGAATTTGGTTTCAAATTCAAATCATTGCTACTTAGATTATACAATTTTCAACAAATATATATATATATATATATTATCACATCAAAATATTATTAAAATTAAAATTTCAATCTCAAATCAAAATCAAATTATTTGAAACAAAAATTACTAATACTATTTTTAACTTGTATGATTTTCAATAAAAATACATAGTTATTATTATAAAACATCAAATAAAAATACATAGTTATTTATTACTCCCTCCGTCTCAATTACCGTGCCATATTTATGTTTGGCACGAGAATTTAGGTAGGAAGTATTAAGTATGGTAATTTGAGATAATTTGTATATTCAGTGATGTAATTGGAGAGAGAAATAATTATTTACTATTTTTTTATTTGAGTAATATGATGAGATAACGTGAAGTACTCCCTCCGTCCCAAATACCATGCAACATTTTCTGTTTTGTTTGTCTCAAACTCACTGCAACATTTACAAATTTATAAATAATTAATAATATTTATATACATATATTAATATATACTTGGCTTTATCCCATCACATCACTCAAATAAAAAAATAAATAATCATTTATCTCTCAAATCACATCACTTAATATCTAAATTATCTCAAATTACCATACTTAATACTCCCTACCTAAATTCCCGTGTCAAACACAAATGTTGCACGGTATTTGGGACGGAGGGAATATATATTAATATATGTATATAAATATTATTAATTATTTCTAAATTTGAAAATGTTGCACTGAATTTGGAACAAACAAAAAATAAAATGTTGCAGTGTATTTGAGACGAAGAGAGTATAAAACATCAAATAAAAATATTATGTAAAATAAAATTCCAATAAATATTTATATCAGAAATCAAAAGCAAATAAACCCATAGTTTACGTTTATTTATTTATTTATTGCATTATTGGAAGTGTGACAGGTTAATAATGATATGCATAGTTCAGAAATCAAAATTGTTACCTACTTTTGATTAAAATATGTCATCTTTCCAATATATACATTCCACTTGTCAAGTTTCACATCGTTTTATCCCAACTTTAATCACAATTTAATTATTAAATTATATGATGATGATAAGATTAATTATTCCAATCATCATTTTATCAAAATTTATTATTATTTTTATATAAAATATTTAATTGAATTAATTATTTTTACGTTTTTTTTTTTTTTTGGAAATATTTTAGTGAGGTTATACATACATTGCTAGTTTATATTTATAATGCCCAAAAAGCATACTTCCTCAATCCCATAACTATTCGGTACGAGATTTAAATAATATTGATAGTTGCTAAAAAAAAATATATAGATAAAAGACTTTTTTGCCCTTATGAATGTATTAGTGTAAAAAGTAGTGGCAATTGTGTAATAAAAATGAAAAAATAGGGGTAGTTTTATGGTGATATGGTTATTTATGGAAATAAGACTATTATTTTGAGATGGATAAAAATGGTAAATAAGACTGTTGTATTGGAACGGAGAGAGTATGAAATTTTTTAATTGGCTCTTCAAATGATGTGTTTAGTTTCTGTATATTTGTGTTCTATTTTGATGATATTTAAAAGTGATATTTAACAGAAAATTATGATAAATTTATAATAAAAATTTGATTTTTTTAAAAGAATAAATTAAAGTTAAATATATATACTCCCTCCGTCCCACCATAATTGACACTATTTTTATTTTTATTTGTCCCGTAACAATTGATAGCTTTTTATTTTTAGTAAAAATTATTAAATCAAAAAATATTTAACAAATATAAATCTAACTTAATTAACAACATAACATACAACATCATAAATGACATAAGACTCACTCAAAACCCCTTTATTTTTATCTCTCTCCTAAACAAAAATAAATAT